AAATACTTTGGCGGTAACATCTATCTTTCTATCTATCTCATTATCCAATCAGAGTTATGAATCCTTCAATCGGTGCTATCAGAAAATGGAAAAATTTACTTCTTCTGAAACTATGGTGACTTTGATCTCAAACAAGTATTTTTCAAATTATAAGTTTAAAAGTAAATAAATTAAGAATCTGTTAATTGACAACTTTTCTTTGTTTAAATGTTAAAGTGTTTCTGCTGTTAGAAAACTTGGTAGAAATAAAAATTGAAATAGAAAGTCGTCTTTATTGTATTGATATATACCACGATGACTGTATGCATTTTTGTAAAACCTCAGAGGAGGGAGTACCCTATCATAGGATGTATATATTTAAAGGTCGTTTTGTGATTTAATAATAAAACAATATTTGAATGTCAGGATTAGATTTGGATCAGTTGGAGGGATTAATATAACAATGTGATTAAAAGGGTTTTATTTGGATCAGCTGGAGGGATTAATATATCAATGTGATTAAAAGGATTAGATTTGGATCAGCTGGAGGGATTAATATAACAATATGATTGAAAGAATTAGAAATGTATCAGCTAGAGGGATTAATATAACAATTTGATTTAAAGGATTAGAAATGTATCAGCTAGAGAGATTTATATAGCAATTTGATTTAATGGATTAGAAATGGATCAGCTGAGTCTAAAACTAAATAATAAAAAGTTCCGACTTAAATTTTAAGTTTCAGCTTAAATGCCACTTCTGACTTAATTTAAACCTGAATTTTATCCCTGGGGTTAAATATTTAACTTTAAACCCAGGGTCAAAATCTTGAAATCCTGAATTTTCCCGATTTGTCTATTAATCAATCATCATTCAGCTGAGAAAGCGACATTCAACATTTACGATATATTTAAAAGTGAAAACCTAGTTAAAGAAATTTCACGTTTTAGATTAATTAATTTTTGCATGTAAACCCCAAAAACGGTTGTAACTGGAAATAGGGGTTTTTCGGTTACGTACATTTTTAAAATTAAAAAAGTGAATCCTTTTCTCTGATTGGTTCAGATTTTCCCCGGGAAATTCAAATTCAAGGTTAAATTGAGCCAGTTTAATATTTAAGCAGCAACTCATTATTTTACAGAACTTTTAAGCTATAACTGAAATTTCGCGCATTCTTTAGTTTTAGACTCAGGAGGGTTTTAAAAAAACAATGTGATTAAAAGGATTAGATATGTATCAGCTTGAGGGATTAATATAACAATGTTTTTAAAAGGATTAGATTTGGATCAGCTAGAAGGATTAATATAACAATGTTTTTAAAAGGATTAGATTTGGATCAGCTAGAGGGATTAATATAACAATGTTATTAAAAGGATTAGATATGGATCAGCTAGAGGGATTAATATAACAATGTTATTAAAAGGATTAGATATGGATCAGCTAGAGGGATTAATATAACAATGTTATTAAAAGGATTAGATATGGATCAGCTAGAGGGATTAATATAAACAATGTTATTAAAAGGATTAAAAATGGATCAGCTCTGGACGGATTTAATATAACAATGTTATAAAAAGGATTAGAATTTATCACCTGGAGGGATTAAATATAACAATGTGATTAAAAGGATTATATTTGGGTCAGCTAGAGGGATTAGTATAACAATGTTATTAAAAGGATTATAAATGGATCAGCTCTGGGCGGATTTAATAAAACAATGTGATTAAATGGATTAGAATTGGATCACCTGGAGGGATTAAATATAACAATGTGATTAAAAGGATTAGATATGGATCAGCTGGAGGGATTAAGAAAAGGATTCGAGGGATTCGACAAGGAAGGATCTGGAACTATTGGGTAATTTTTTTTAAAATAGTGAATATTGAATAATGCATTGCTACCCAAAATTGTAGACCTTAGATATTTCAAACTATAAATTCTGTCAGATCAAATAGTCTCAAGTTTGAAATATCAAAGATTTAAAACATCAGGTTGCAAAGATATATAGATTATAAAATTGAGTTTGCGGCAAAAGCTCAGTTTAATGTTGAGTGTTACTGATAAACTTATTATATACCTTCAAAGTTTAAGCGCTTTTGAATTATTTAGATTTGCATCTAAAATTGAATGAATAAAATAAATTGATCTTTGTTATTTAAAATGCATTACTATTGATTATGCAAGACTATTCAGAAAAAAAAATCTTTAAATGTGATTTAAACACATTTCTTCGTTTTATATAAATTAGATAAATCACGCAAATTTTGAAAGGACATGTGTTTAGATATTTTTATCAAATACAACTTATACTCTTTTGGCCCTTTTTTGTCGTTGTAGTAAACACAAACTTTAATAGTTTTCAATCATCCCATGATCTCGTGTAAAAACATAATCAAATCAGTTCAAGGGGACTTTTTACCCACATTCAAGTGGACCTTTCTTAACAGTTTTCCCGATTCACAACATAGGAAGATATAGTCGTTATTCTATCTTGCTTTACTTCATTGTCTTTGCTACATAGATCAGTAAGGGATTTTTTCAGAGATCTCAACTTGAAAATTACAAAGTTCTAAGATGACTTAAACATAACAATGAGATCTAACTTAAATCTTATTTTTACAAAATTAACAAAAATATATTAATACTTCTATAGATTTTTACAAAAAAAAATAAAATGTTCACGTTTTAACTTTTATTTCTTTTTTTATGTTCGAATTAGCCCTTGTGCACAAAAACACTATTTTTGACAAATTATTTAGGGTTTTATTAAAGATTTTAATTGTGTATACACATATATATTTCTCATCCGTACTTTAGCTCCGCTTTAATTACCATAAAAATTCTTCTCCACGTCAACTGGGTTAAAGAGTGAAAATTTGAGCATGTAAAATTTCAGATAATAATCTAATCAACATGACACAGTATTTCAAACGTTAAGATAATTTGTCAAAATGTCCAGTAAACCCACTTTGAACATAAAATGAGATGAAGAAAACTTGATCATTTTCTGATCTTGACTTTTTAAGATCTTAATTTTTTAAAGACCTGAATTTTTCCAGATCTTGATCTTTGTCCAATCACGATCTTTGTTCAATCCCGATCTGATTTTCGTCAGATCACAATCTATTTCAGATCTTGATCTTTGTCAAATTTTAATCTTTGTACAAGATCTTAAACTTTGTAAGATCTTGATCTTTGTAAGATCTTGATCTTTGTAAGATCTTGATCTTTGTAAGATCTTGATCTTTGTAAGATCTTGATCTTTGTAAGATCTTGATCTTTGTAAGATCTTGATCTTTGTAAGATCTTGATCTTTGTAAGATCTTGATCTTTGTAAGATCTTGATCTTTGTAAGATCTTGATCTTTGTAAGATCTTGATCTTTGTAAGATCTTGATCTTTGTAAGATCTTGATCTTTGTAAGATCTTGATCTTTGTAAGGTCTTGATCTTTGTCAGATCTTGATCTTTCAAATTTTGATCTCGATTTCTCCTGTATTCAGGAAGTAGAGGAAGATGGTTCTGGGAAGTTTAATTTTGCACAATTCTGCACGGTAAGCGATCAAATAGTTCCAGTAAACTAAGATGAATTGACATGATGATAAGATTCAGCTGAGAAATATTAAATCCTGACAGCTATAGGAAAAAGGGGGGGAGGAGAAGGATACAAAAAATTTGGACTTCTATCGATTTATGAAAGTTTAAAAGAACTATACAGTACGGTACACCCGCCACATATTTGCAATTAAAATATGGGATTAAAGTGTCATAATTTTTTTCAAAAGTTGGAAAAGATACAACAATTTCTCGTTCGAGCCACATATTAACCTCATTTTCTCGTCCGAGCCACCTCAAAATCTTCGGCCTTCCAATATAACTTTTTCCACTCTAATCCTTGAACTTAAATAAAATAAATTTTTTAAACCTAACAAAATAATTTCAATTTCAATAAAGTTATATTTCAATTAAAATTTCACTTTTTTACATGCGTTTTCCGTTATTGCAGTAATTGAATACCGTGAATTATTCAGAGCTGACACAACTCCAATCTTTTTTTTGCTAATTATATCGATAACCATGAAAAACGAAAGGCGTAGATTATGATAAATATTTGGCTTTTTATTTGGATACAGTAAATAAATAATACTGGAATTTCAGAATGGCTCTGACGAGAAACTGCATTGATTGATTGACAGATTGATAGAGCCTGGAGAAATTTTCTCAAGTAGAACATCAAAGCTTGAGTTTACGATTGATCATTTCAAATTATTTACCCAAAACATCAATATGTTAAGACCGACTGTAAACATTACATTCAAAGTTATGCAATTGAAAATATTAAAAAATTAAAATATTTTAACCCCACAAAATCCTGAGTAATTTGTGAACAAAAGATATGTAATCCGTCGTCTTTGCAATTAGGATAGAGATCCAGGACCAAATGTAATTGGTCTAAGGTATAGACTATAGATCATGTAGGTTGTTAATCGTTTTTGAAAACGATCGTTAAACGATAGTTTTTTGCTTCGTTCCTGGTGGTCTATCTACCGCCTAGAAATCCAGAGGAGACATAAAGTTATATTTCAATTAAAATTTCACTTTTTTACATGCGTTTTCCGTTATTGCAGTAATTGAATACCGTGAATTATTCAGAGCTGACAGAACTCCAATCTTTTTTTTGCTAATTATATCGATAACCATGAAAAACGAAAGGCGTAGATTATGATAAATATTTGGCTTTTTATTTGGATACGGTTAATAAATAATACTGGAATAAGGAGAATTTCAGAATAGCTCTCACAAGAAATTATATTGATTGATAGACAGATTGATAGAGCCTGGAGAAATTTTCTCAAGTAGAACATCAAAGCTTGAGTTTACGATTGATCATTTCAAATTATTAACCCAAAACATCAATATATTAGGACCGACTAATTTTTTTAAATATCCAATATTTAAAATTATGTAAACATTACATTTGAAGTTATGCAATTGAAAAAATTAAAAATTAAAATATTTTTACCCAAAAAATCAGAGAAAAGCAGAATGCAGAGTAGAGGATGTAGAAGGCGGAGATGAAGGCAAACTAATCACAGAACCATCAGAGGAGGAGCTGGAAAACACCTTCTGACTCTTTACAAGATGCTGGAGGAAATCTGCTCCCAAGATTGGAACAGAGACTGGAGATAAATGAAATAACCAGGCACAATTCCAGGAACCAAAATGTAAAGGAATAATCCTGGAACCTGAGCTAGAAACTGTATAACCGTCTGCCGTAAGTAACCTTTCACTGGAAGCTGTAGAGGAGGTTGTAGCATGTACTAGTGATACTGAAGCCCCAGTACCAACTAGGAAATGGCGGCCAGACAACTCATCCTGGAGAAAGATGAGTGAGGAATGTCTTGAACCAGCAGGCAGGGAAAATGCATCCACCTGCCGGTGCTCTAGTTTACTGACTATGAGCAGGGAGCTTGACAACGACGACCTTTGAACTGAACTTGATGTGAGCCAACAGAAGGAGGCCAATTCTGGCCGGTGGGAAGGTGCAGCTGGAGTCTGTGAACGGCAGGGTAGAGGACTAGGAGTGAGTTGAGAATGTTGTGGCCAGCTGTGCTGTCTGGGAGGAGGAGCATGAACAGCATGAACGGTGTCATAAGCATTAACGGTGGACGATAAACATGACATGGTTACTGAAAACTATACATTTTGTTTTTGATTTGGAACCATCTACATTTATGCTAAATTTTAACTGATGAAGACTAGCAAATTTTTCAAAAACATTAGTCATTAACTGTAGTCCAGATCTAATGATTTGAAATATCCTCTGCTCCAGTGTGACCATCAACACTGCTTGATACAGTGCTACCACGGAACTTCTTTATCTCTTGAAAAATATCCAATCCTCCGTCTAGCAGTCCTGTAAGTAGCTTATCCTTTTTAATATTGTAAGCTACTAATTTAAGCCTACGCACAGCATATTTATATTGCATTTTAGCTTGCCTATTTATTTCATATAGTTCTCCTACTTCAGGACATCCTGCAGCATGCCAAACGCCATTCCAGAATGTTAACTAAAAATTACTTAGTTCAAAAGTATTAATACAACTCAACTTGGTGGGTAGCTTTACTGAAAAAAAAACAATGAAATGAAAATGCGCATTCAAAGTTCGAGGTCACAAATTTGGCGGTTGAATAAATAACTACAAAAGGTTCAGGATAACTAACTTATGTTTTGTTCTAAGATTTTAAGATCTAAGATCTAAGATATAAGTTATTTTATTGGTGAAATATATTTCATGTTACTAAAACTCCCTCCTCGTGGACTAGCTGCCGCTTAGGATCCCAAAGGACAGAAGGCGACATTCATAACCACTTTTTCATAAATAAATTTCTAAGCCCCCTATTTTATAAATTCTTTATAAATTTATGTTTACAGCTTCGTCATATTTAAAATTTGTTTGTTGCTATGTTGGATAATGTATTGCATGAAGTACAGATATTTATTTACATTTTCTTTCAGTATGTTTAGCACTCTCCGAGTAGTTATCAAATAAGATTTTTAAAGTAAAAAGAAATAAAAACATGGCAAACGGTGCACCTTAATCCCAACACATTAGTTTGACGCAGAACTTCCTTTTTTTGAGAATTGGAGTTCCGTTTTCCTAACCCCGCATCATGATTAACGGTGCACTTTTCTTCCTCCTTTTTTTGAGAATTGGAGTTCCATTTTCCTAACCCCGCATCATGATTAACGGTGCACTTTTCTTCCTCCTTTTTTTGAGAATCGGAGTTCCGTTGTTCGAACTGCGCATCATGATGAACGGTGCACTTTTCTTCCTCCTTAGTATTTTTTCTCTTTCAAAGTTAAAATATGGATATCTTACAAAGCATATAAGTGCCCTTTATGAACTAAATATTTTGTCTACAGCTCTTTAAGGAACAATGGACTAATGCTTGAAAACTATTCACTAAATTTTTGATTAATAATCTAAATAACGTCTACAAAAATCCCCCTCTTCTTTCTATGTACATGTTGACATTTTCGTCAAATCTTGAGGTGACTGTACAATTTCCCTGTACACATTGTCTATCAGCATTCTGTACTCTAACCTTTTGTACACAACAAACATAAAAATGTTTTCCTGTTACACTGTACACGGAATTCACATTTTTTCTACTCAAAATGTTTTTTTAAATAAAATATCTTTACTTCGTTTGATATTTGGTGTATCAATGAATGTAAAGCCTTAAGATTATTCAAGATTATTCAAATAAAATTGAGTTTGATCCAGATCAAGTAACTTGGAAGCTTAACTTGAAGTTAACAGGCGTCAGTGAAAATTTACTTTATCATATCGTTCGAACTTCTTACTGAATACATAATGTTGTACAGCATACAGGGTGAGTCATAGATATCTATCTATATTCATATTTGGCTATTATTCCTTAGGTGTTGGTTGCAGGTTTGTTTATACCAATAAACGCCAAAATGGCTTAAACAATAGAGCCCACATTTGTTGTTGCAACTAACATGGCCCCGATACAAGAAAGGTAAATGGCCTAGAAATTGAACAAATTATTTCCAGAAAAAAACTGATCTAACGTTTTTTTGAAAACCTTTGAAGCATATACGTGTAGATAATATCAATTAATGAATATTGTATTTTATAACATATACAAAACTATAATCAGATCAGCTTCTCTGTTTTTACATTTATTTATACAAATTGTTTAGGATTGTTCCTCTTCAGTTAATAAACATGGCTAAAATTTAACATATATATATAAAGTAGTAATCACTGTTTGGTTTTAAAAAAGTTTAATGCGTTTACTATTGTTTAGAACAAATTGTGTTAGCAGGCAAAGCTGGGTTCCCAAGCTAGTATATCATACATAGTCACAAAACAAAATAGTATATAGGGTGAGAGTCAAAAAATAAATAGTGTAAATAGAGATTATCACAAATTTAATCATGATAATAGTTGGTGGGAGCCTGGGAGGTTGAACCAAACCAGATTAGAAATAAGCAATAGAGACTACTTTTTAGAAAATATATTTCGACTTTGGATATATAATAAAATGTATATATCATGGACAAGCTTTGATGTAATTTTCTTGCTGGGTTGTCATGCAGTACATTAGACATTGGAACCTGGACTTAAAATTTGTCTGCGGTTTTCGTATCAGTCGTCAAAGGAGTATAGAAAAGCATTATAAGTCTTTTAATCTTGGTAAAGTTTAGCCTCCTTCTTTTTATCTAAGAAACTGTCGGAGGCACTAAAGATTTAACAACCTTGGTAGTATTTAATAATTTAAATTTCACAATATCTCAGTCAATTATTAAGGTATAAAAATGTCAAATAAAACAGAACAATTTAAAGAAAAAAACTTGTTAGTTAAAACTGAAAATTTAAAAAAATATATATTAGATTGAAGAACCAAACATTTTTTTTTATAAAAATCCTGTATATGTAGGTTGTCAAGGAACAAATATTGAAAATGTGTTTTATTACTTTGTACAGGTTACTGCTAGGTTCACGATCAAAGACGACCTTAATAAATTGTAGGTTGTTGCTAGGGTTATGACCGAAGACAAACTTAATATATTGTAGGTTTCTGCTAGGTTTATGATAGAAGACGACCTTAATGTATTGTAGGTTGCTGCTAGGTTCATTATTGAAAACGACCTTATTATATTGTAGGTTGCTGCTAGGTTTATGATAGAATACGACCTCAATATATTGTATGTTGCTGCTAGGTTTATGATAGAAGACGACCTTATTATATTGTAAGTTGCTACTATGTTTATTATAGAAGAAGACCTTAATATATTGTAGGTTTCTGCTAGGTTTATGACCGAAGACGACCATTTTATATTGTAGGTTGCTGCTAGGTTTATGATAGAACTGCCTTATAACATTTCAGATTACTTCTAGGTTTATGATAAAAGACGACCTTAATATATTGTTGGTTGCTGCTAGGTTTATGATAAAAGACGAAACAACTGTTCTAGATTATACGACAAAGAAGTAAATGGCTGTATAACAACTGCTCTAGATTATACGACAAGGAAGTAAATGGCTATATAACAACTGTTCTAGATTATACGACAAGGAAGGAAATGGCTATATAACAACTGTTCTAGATTATACGACAAAGAAGTAAATGGCTATATAACAACTGCTCTAGATTATACGACAAGGAAGGAAATGGCTATATAACAACTGTTCTAGATTATACGACAAGGAAGGAAATGGCTATATAACAACTGATGTTCTTAGAGAAATTATTTGTGAAATAGATCCAAC